CGCGCTCTCTGTACTTTGCTCCCTTCATCTTTCCCTCGATCCTGACTAGTCTCCCAGTCCCTGCCACTGAAAAACATCCCCACAGCATGATGTTGTCATCCGTAGGGATGGTGCCAGGTTTCCTAAAGATGTGACGCTTGGCATTCAGGCCAAAGAGTTCAATCTTGGTTTCATCAGACCAGATAATCTTGTTTCTCATGGTCTGAGAGTCCTTTAGGTGCCTTTTGGCAAACTCCAAGCAGGCAGTCATGTGCCTTTCACTGAGGAGTGGCTTCCGTCTGGCCACTCTACAGTAAAGGCCTGATTGGTGGAGAGCTGCAGAGATGGTTGTCCTTCTAGAAGGTTTTCCCATCTCCACAGAAGAACTGTGACCATCGGGTTCTTGGTCACCTCCCTGACCAATGCCATTCTCCCCCGATTGCTCAGCTTGGCCGGACGGCCAGCTCTAGGAAGAGTCTTGGTGGTTCCAAACTTCTTCCATTTAAGAATGATGGAGGCCATTGTGTTCTTGGGGACCTTCAATGCTGCAGAAATGTTTTGGTACCCTTCCCCAGATCTATGCCTCGATACAATCCTGTCTCGAAGCTCTACGGACAATTCCTTCGACCTCATGGCTTGGTTTTTGCTCTGACATGCACTGTCCGAATGCACTGTAGACAGCTGTGTGTCTTTCCAAATCATGTCCAATCAACTGAATTTACCACAGGTGGATTCGATTCAAGTTGTAAAAACATCTCAAGGATGATCAATGGAAACAGGATGAACCTGAGCTCAATTTCGAGTCTCATAGCAAAAGGTCTGAATACTTATGTAAATACAGTGCCTTGCAAAAGTATTCATCCCCCTTGGAGTTTTTCCTATTTTGTTGCATTACAACCAGTAATTTAAATGGATTTGTATTTGTATTTCATGTAATGGACATACACAAAATAGTCCAAATTGGTGAAGTTCAATGAATATTTTTTTTTTTTTCAAGAATTTCTAAAAAATAAATAACGGTAAAGTGGTGCGTGCATATGTATTCACCCCCTTTGCAATGAAGCCCCTAAATAAGATCTGGTGCAACCAATTACCTTCAGAAGTCACATAAGTAGTTAAATAAAGTCCACCTGTGTGCAATCTAAGTGTCACATGATCTCAGCATATATACACCTGTTCTGAAAGGCCCCAGAGTCTGCAACACCACTAAGCAAGGGGCACCACCAAGCAAGCGGCACCATGAAGACCAAGGAGCTCTCCAAACAGGTCAGGGACAAAGTTGTGGAGAAGTACAGATCAGGGTTGGGTTATAAAAAAATATCCGAAACTTTGAACATCTCACAGAGCACCATTAAATCCATTATTAAAAATTGAAAGAATATGGCACCACAACAAACCTGCCAAGAGAGGGCTGCCCACCAAAACTCACGGACCAGGCAAGGAGGGCATTAATCAGAGAGGCAACAAAGAGACCAAAGATAGCTCCACAGCGGAGATGGAAGTATCTGTCCATAGGACCACTTTAAGCTGTACAGTCCACAGAGCTGGGCTTTATGGAAGACTGGCCAGAAAAAAGCCACACGTTTGGTGTTTGCCAAAAGGCATGTGGTAGACTCCCCAAACATATGGAAGAAGGTACTCTGGTCAGATGAGACTACAATTGAGCCTTTTGGCCATCAAGGAAAACGCTATGTCTGGCGCAAACCCAACACCTCTCATCACCCCGAGAACACCATCCCCAGAGTGAAGCATGGTGGTGGCAGCATCATGCTTTGGAGATGTTTTTCATCGGCAGGGACTGGGAAACTGGTCAGAATTGAAGGAATGATTGATGGCGCTAAATACAGGGAAATTCTTGAGGGAAACCTATTTCGGTCTTCTAGAGATTTGAGACTGGGACAGAGGTTCACCTTCCAGCAGGACAAAGACCCTAAGCATACTGCTAAAGCAACACGAGTGGTTTAAGGGGAAACATTTAAATGTCTTGGAATGGCCAAGTCAAAGCTCAGAGAATCTGTGGTATGACTTAAAGATTGCTGTACACCAACGGAACCCATCCAACTTGAAGGAGCTAGAGCAGTTTTGCCTTGAAGAATGGGCAAGAATCCCAGTGGCTAGATGTGCCAAGCTTATAGAGACATACCCCAAGAGACTTGTAGCTTTAATTGCTGCAAAAGGTGGCTCTACAAAGTATTGACTTTGGGGGGTGTATAGTTATGCACGCTCAAGTTTTTTTGTCTTATTTATTGTTTATTCCTCACTAAAAAAAAATTGCATCTTCAAAGTGGTAGGCATGTTGTGTAAATCAAATGATACAAACCCCCAAAAAATCAATTGTAATTCCAGGTTGTAAGGCAACAAAATATTGAAAACGCCAAGGGGGGTGAATACTTTCACAAGTCACTGTAAATTTGCTAAGATTTCAAAAAATCTGTTTTCGCTTTGTCATTATGGGGTGTAGAGTATTTCCGAATGCAGTCATTTATTGGGTAAAACACCAACGTTTTGGCATCACTCTGCCTTCTTCAGGGTAATGTCATGAACGCTTGAACAGGTTATGTAGACAAACAGTGTAATTAGTGCAACCAATGACAATAGTGAGGGGTGTGTCATGATTATTAGGTTGATTAGAATGAATTGATTGAAACTGTTAAAAGACAATAGTTTACAGCATATAGAATATATTAGGCTATTGTTATCATATGGAAACATAATTAGATATTGTACATAATATTAGCATCAACATACACTGCTCAAAAAAATAAAGGGAACACTTAAACAACACATTGTAACTCCAAGTCAATCACACTTCTGTGAAATCAAACTGTCCACTTAGGAAGCAACACTGATTGACAATAAATTTCACATGCTGTTGTGCAAATGGAATAGACAACAGGTGGAAATTATAGGCAATTAGCAAGACACCCCCAATAAAGAAGTGGTTCTGCAGGTGGTGACCACAGACCACTTCTCAGTTCCTATGCTTCCTGGCTGATGTTTTGGTCACTTTTGAATGCTGGCGGTGCTTTCACTCTAGTGGTAGCATGAGACGGAGTCTACAACCCACACAAGTGGCTCAGGTAGTGCAGCTCATCCAGGATTGCACATCAATGCGAGCTGTGGCAAGAAGGTTTGCTGTGTCTGTCAGCGTAGTGTCCAGAGCATGGAGGCGCTACCAGGAGACAGGCCAGTACATCAAGAGACATGGAGGAGGCCATAAGAGGGCAACAACCCAGCAGCAGGACTGTTACCTCCGCCTTTGTGCAAGGAGGAGCAGGAGGAGCACTGCCAGAGCCCTGCAAAATGACCTCCAGCAGGCCACAAATGTGCATGTGTCTGCTCAAACGGTCAGAAACAGACTCCATGAGGGTGGTATGAGGGCCCGACGTCCACAGGTGGGGGTTGTGCTTACAGCCCAACACCGTGCAGGACGTTTGGCATTTGCCAGAGAACACCAAGATTGGCAAATTCGCCACTGGCGCCCTGTGCTCTTCACAGATGAAAGCAGGTTCACACTGAGCACATGTGACAGACGTGACAGAGTCTGGAGACACCGTGGAGTACGTTCTGCTGCCTGCAACATCCTCCAGCATGACCGGTTTGGCGGTGGGTCAATCATGGTGAGGGGGGGGGGATTTCTTTGGGGGGCCGCACAGCCCTCCATGTGCTCGCCAGAGGTAGCCTGACTGCCATTAGGTACCGAGATGAGATCCTCAGACCCCTTGTGAGACCATATGCTGGTGCGGTTGGCCCTGGGTTCCTCCTAATGCAAGACAATGCTAGACCTCATGTGGCTGGAGTGTGTCAGCAGTTCCTGCAAGAGGAAGGCATTGATGCTATGGACTGGCCCGGCCGTTCCCCAGACCTGAATCCAATTGAGCACATCTGGGACATCATGTCTCGCTCCATCCACCAACGCCACGTTGCACCACAGACTGTCCAGGATGCTTTAGTCCAGGTCTGGGAGGAGATCCCTCAGGAGACCATTCGCCACCTCATCAGGAGCATGCCCAGGCGTTGTAGGGAGGTCATACAGGCACGTGGAGGCCACACACACTACTGAGCCTCATTTTGACTTGTTTTAAGGACATTACATCAAAGTTGGATCAGCCTGTAGTGTGGTTTTCCACTTTAATTTTGAGGGTGACTCCAAATCCAGACCTCCATGGGTTGATAAATTAGATTTCCATTGATAATTTTTGTGTTATTTTGTTGTCAGCACATTCAACTATGTAAAGAAAAGTATTTAATAAGATTATTTCATTCATTCAGATCTAGGACGTGTTGTTTAAGTGTTCCCTTTATTTTTTGAGCAGTGTATATTATTGTTTAATATAATTTCACATATATATATTTAATTGTTTCCAATTTCATTACATTTCATCCAATTCCATGTAATCTTTTGGTTCAACCATAATGCATAATAAGCATCATCAACAGGGGGAACATATTAGGTGTACGCTGATAAGCTGTAGAAATAATATATTCATTTATAAGACTTGTTCATAAAGAAGAGAGAAGAAACAAGAATTGTTCATAAAGGCCTGAGTCAAAGTCAATATTCAGACCAGTAGGGGTCAATGTTTTTAAAAAGGATATAATAATAATATAATATAATAATAATAATAATAATAATAATAATAATAATAATAATATGCCATTTAGCAGACGCTTTTATCCAAAGCGACTTACAGTCATGCGTGCATACATGTTTTTTTTTTTTTGTGTATGGGTGGTCCCGGGGATCGAACCCACTACCTTGGCGTTACAAGCGCCGTGCTCTACCAGCTGAGCTACAGAGGACCACATCCAGTAAGTAAGCCTCCCTCTGTAGTAGCAGAATCTCGATGTTACCTCCTCTCCTTGGTAGAGCAACATGCTCAATGCCTGTGTATTTGAGGGAGGAGATAGGATGGTTAGCTTCAAAAAAGTGAGCTGCTACTGGATAGTCAGTGTTCTTACACCTGATTGAGCTGCGGTGTTCAGCTATGCATTGTTTTAATTGCCTTTGTTTATTCTACATAGGCTTTCCCGCATGAACAGATGATGAGATAGATTACGCCCTTTATCTTGTATGAGATGATACCCCTAACAGGGACTTTTTGACCTGTATGTGTGTGTCTGAAGAAGGATGTTTTTGTAGTGCTATTGCACTGTGCGCATGAGCCACATTTGTAGTTCCCATTTGGAATGGGTCAAGAGTGTCTGAGTGGGCTCAGGGGGCAGGTCAGATCTCACTAAGCTATCCCAATATTGCGACCATGCTAATAGACCACCAGTGGGGGTTCCTTGAAGATGTATGCAATTATTTTGTCTGTTTCCAGAATATACCAGTGCTTTTTCAGGATTGCTTTCATTTTCTCCGAAACACTTGGTGTACTTAGTGCAAAAGACTGTTGCGTTGTTTTTCTTCTTTGGTTTAGTTTTTAGCAATTCCTCTCTTGGTTTTTGAGATATGTTCATCATTGCAGCATCAAGAGTTTCGTACTTATAGCCTGTCAAAATCTGACTGGTGGCCACAGATTAATTTAACCCTGCATAACTGGCTATATGGTAGACCATTCTTGAGGGGAAGGGAATACATACTATCCGCACGTAGCAGGGTATTGCGGTATGTGGGCTTTGTGTATAACTCTGTGCGTAATATACCATTCTCTTTGATGATCCATAAGTCCAGGTATTATTTTTCTCTCATTGGTCTGCATGGTGAATTTGAATTTAGTTCCTGCTGACTTCCTTCCCAGAGCACAAAGACATACTGTATCTCCACCATGGAAAGTAGAATGATAAAAAAGTATTGGATTTGGAGAGGAAAACTAAGAATGGAAACTACCTGAGGGCACTGTTCTGATGCCATGTGGAAAATGACCACCGTTTTCTGCTGGAAAAATAACCTTTTCTAATTCTCTGATTCTAAAAAAAAACTAAAACAAACTACCAAAAAATAGTTCTTTTTATTTGTATTTTGCTAAACACAGCACAACGCTAAAATATAAGTTACAATAAAAGTGTGTGCTTTTGTGTATGTATGTGCATGACTGTTCATTCATGTGTGTGTATGTGTGTATGTATGTGCACGTGTGTGGCATGCTTAAGTGTGTGTGCTGAGGTGCGTGTTTATGTGTGTAAGGGGTTAGTTTGTATCCCAGCTCAGCCCTTTACCATCACGTTGTGACAGATGATGTCCTGCCTGTGATTGAAATCTCACCATGGTCTTTACAAAACAAACAGTGGGTCAGCCATGTAAAGCCTCTGATATGCCAAAATTACTGAATAGATGAATGAGATCAAATAGGCAGTTGGTAAAGAGAGTGCTAACAGTGGAATGACCTTTCGTAGGTGCATAAGCTCTCCCTCTGCTCGGTGCCTCCCTCAGACAACACAAAGACACAAAGAGTTTGAGTAAAATCACAACATGAAATGCCAACCTCTTCACAGCAGGATCTCTTCATAGAAACAAGGTGGCCCTGTGACGGTGACTGTGTCAACTAGAAATCTCCAGTAGAGAGGTCTCATAACATAATTTCATTAGCACAGAATGGAGGAGAATAATAAAGAGATGAACAGTTAATACAAATTATATAAATTGAAATGTACAGTTGAAGTCGGAGGTTTACATACACCTTAGCCAAATACATTTAAACTCTGTTTTTCACAATTCCTGACATTTAACCCTAGTAAAAACTCCCTGTCTTAAGTCAGTTAGGATCACCACTTTATTTTAAGAATGTGAAATGTCAGAATAATAGTAGAGTGAATGATTTATTTCAGCTTTTATTTATTTCATCACATTCCCAGTGGGTCAGAAGTTTACATACACTCAATTAGTATTTGGTAGCATTGCTTTTAAATTGTTTAACTTGGGTCAAATGTTTCGGGTAGCCTTCCACAAGCTTCCCACAATACGTTGGGTGAATTTTGGCCCATTCCTCCTGACAGAGTCAGGTTTGTAGGCCTACTTGCTCGCACACGCTTTTTCAGTTCTGCCCACAAATGTTCTATAGGATTGAGGTCAGGCTTTGTGATGGCCATTCCAATACCTTGACTTTGTTGTCCTTAAGCCATTTTGCCACAACTTTGGAAGTATGCTTTTGGTCATTGTTCATTTGGAAGACCCATTTGCGACCAAGCTTTAACTTCCTGACTGATGCCTTGAGATGTTGCTTCAATATATCCACATAATTTTCCTTCCTCATGATGCCATCTATTTTGTGAAGTGCACCAGTCCCTCCTGCAGCAAAGCACCCTCACAGCATGATGCTGCCACCCCCGTGCTTCACGGTTGGGATGGTGTTCTTCAGCTTGCAAGCAACCCCCTTTTTCCTCCAAACATAACGATGGTCATTATGGCCAAACAGTTCCATTTTTGTTTCATCAGACCAGAGGACATTTCTCCAAAAAGGACGATCTTGTGCATTTGCAAACCGTAGTCTGTGTTTTTTATTGCGGTTTTGGAGCAGTGGCTTCTTCCTTGCTGAGCGGCCTTTCAGGTTATGTCGATATAGGACTTGTTTTACTGTGGATATAGACACTTTTGTACCTGTTTTCTCCAGCATCTTAACAAGGTCCTTTGCTGTTGTTCTTGGATTGATTTGCACTTTTCGCACCAAAGTACGTTCATCTCTAGGAGACAGAACACGTCTCCTTCGTGAGCGGTATGATGGCTGCGTGGTCCCATGGTGTTTATACTTGCGTACTATTGTTGTACAGATGAACGTGGTACCTTCAGGCGTTTGTAAATTGCACCCAAGGATGAACCAGACTTGTGGAGGTCTACAATTTGTTTTCTGAGGTCTTGGCTGATATCTTTTGATTTTCCCATTATGTCAAGCAAAGAGGCACTGAGTTTGAAGGTAGGCCTTGAAATACATCCACAGGTACACCTCCAATTGACTCAAATGATGTCAATTAGCCTATCAGAAGCTTCTAAAGCCATGACATCTTTTTCTGGAATTTTCCAAGCTGTTGAAAGGCGCAGTCAACTTAGTGTATGTAAACGTCTGACCCACTGGAATTGTGATACAGTGAATTATAAGTGAAATAATCTGTCTCTAAACAATTGTTGGAAAATGACTTGTGTCATGCACAAAGTAGATGTCCTAACCGACTTGCCAAAACTATAGTTTGTTAACAAGAAATTTGTGGAGTGGTTGAAAAACAAGTTAATGACTCCAACCTAATGTATGTAAACTTCCGACTTAAACTGTAAACTTTTTGCTGAAACAAGGGTGAAATAATAGTTGTTGTTTTTTATCTCCTGCAGTAATTCTTTATCTCTGTAGGTAGGTATCCATTCAATTGGCGACAGATTTTCATGCCAATATTCAAAAATCTGCATAAAAACAAAATGCAAATTTCCCCCCCAGAAATGTTTCCATCAAATTGACTTGTTGCAGATAAAGGGCTGTGCGTGATGACGTAGTGTACATAAAAATACATTTTGTGGTTAAATTCCAATGTACCGAATAAAACTGAAGTTAAATGGGTTTCCATCACATTTGCATTGTAACAACTTCCTCCGAAGCTGCCTCCTCTCCTTGTTCGGGCATGCTTCGGCGTTCGTCGTCACCGGCCTTCTAGCCACTGCCGCTCCTCATCTCATCATTCCATTTGTTTTGTCTTGGTTTTACACACAACTGGTTCATATCCCCTCATCAGTCTCTGTATAAGTATTCCCTCTGCCCCCCCATGTCTTTGTGTGTGATTGTTTCCGTGTGGAGGTGTTGATAGCTCGGTGGAGTTTTATGTACTTCTATGTTTTTTGTTTTCCCCCCAGTGCGGCATTTTAGCCGCACTGTAGTTGTTTTACGCATTGCTGTGTACCGCTGTATTTGCCGAATAAACCATTATTCTGTGATTTACACCTCCTGCTCCTGACTCCTTCCAAATCACCCGCTAGAGAATCACACACCCAACAGCATGGAGTCAGCAGGAGCGGGGAATATGCCTGGAGTCGTTGAGTGGGTCCGGGAGCATTCCAACATGTTACCCAGCTTTGGCGAAGCGATGGATCGGGTTCTCCAGGTCGTCCAAAGCCTGGAGAGGAGAGGACCCAACCCTGCGGAACCAGCTGAGCGACCGGATCCAGCCACCCACACCCTAGCACCCAGAGATATTCACCTGTCTCGACCGAGGGAATGTGACGGGTCAGCGCCCCCCTGCCAGGGTTTCCTCCTGCAGCTGGACCTCTATTTCACCAACATCAGCCCGGCTCCATCGGATCGGGAGAAGGTGTCCGCCTTCGTCTCCTGCCTCTCGGAGAAAGCCCTGGAGTGGGCCAACATGGTCTGGAGTGAAGGAGGAGACGCGTTGGACAACTACGGAGAGTTCACTCACCTTTTCCGGGCAGTCTTCGATCATCCCCCCAAAGGAAGAGAGGCGGGCGAGCGTCTGGTCCATCTGAGGCAGGGGACGAGGACCACGCAATACTTTACCCTGGAGTTTAGAACTCTAGCGGCTGGGTCCGGGTGCATCGATCACTTCCGATGCTGCCTGCATGAGGAAGTCCAAAGGGAGCTAGACTGCCTGGATACCACGTTGACCTTAAACCAACTGGTGGACATGGCCATCCGGTTGGACAACCTGCTGGCTTCGAAAGGATGTCCTGGAAGGGGCCTGCCCGTTTCACCCCCCTTCAACCCGGATCACGTTCCGATGAAGCTGGGTGGGGCAGCGATCCGGGAGAACGGAGGATGACAGATCCAGTGTCACTCATGTGGCAAGAGAGGACATTCTGCTGTACGATGTCGTCAGAGTTCTTCTGGTTCTGGAGGCGGCAGGCAGAGCACTCTCGCGTCACCCTCCGGTTAGATGCTGTGCCTCCCAGGAGTCATGTATATCCCCTGTCGCAGGCTGAAACGGAGGCTATGGAGACATACGTCTCAGAGTCCCTGCGTCAGGGGTTCATACGTCCCTCCTCTAGTTTCTTTTTCGTGAAGAATAAAGATGGTGGTCTTCATCGATGACATCCTGGTGTATTCCGCTACACGCGCCGAGCATGCGTCCCTGGTTCGCAGAGTGCTGGGCCGACAGTTGGCGCATGACCTGTATGCCAAGGCAGAAAAGTGTCCGTTCTTCCAACAATCCGTCTCCTTCCTCGGATACCACATCACCACCTCAGGTGTAGAGATGGAAGGAGACCGCATTTCAGCCGTGCGTAATTGGCCGACTCCAACCACGGTAAAGGAGGTGCAGCGCTTCATTGGCTTTGACAATTACTATCAGAGGTTTATCCGGGGCTTTGGCAAGGTCGCAGCTCCCATCACCTCTCTGTTGAATGTTGGGCCGTCCCGGCTCCGCTGGTCTGCTGAGGATGACAGGGCTGTCAGTAGCCTGAGGGCTCTGTTCACCTCAGCCCGGTACGGGCCCGTCCCGAACCATCATTGCCGTTCGTAGTGGAGATGGATGCGTCCGAGGTAAGGGGTAGGCGCTATCCAATCCCAATGCTCGGGCACACCAACCAGAAGCTCAGCCTGGCAGAGCAGAACTACGACGTTGGTGATCGGGAGCTGTTGGCTGTTGTCTGTGGGCGGTGGGACCTTCCGCACCTCAGACTCCTGGAGCGGACCAGCTACCACCGGCCTGAGGAGAGCTACGTGAAATTAGGGGTTAATACGGTAATCAGGAGGGAGCAGCAACCTATTCATAACCTC